AGTTGGTACAAGCGGCTGAGAGACCAAATCAAAAGCATGTGAGCAGATTAAAGAATCAATCTCCCCATTTGATGCAGAGGAAATCCCACTAATTATAAAGAAGGGGCTTATTTCCCGGAGTCGCTCTGTTTGAAGTCATCAAAACTAGCAATACTTAATTACTCTACTTTATGGAATATATAGCATGGAGCTCCTTCCCAGCTTGCCTGCTTTCTGGTGCCATTACTGGTGCTGGGGGCTTCCGGGGGTGGGGGGGATGCTCCTCCTCTACCTCTGCACTTATTTATTTAAATGAAGCCCTTAACAGCCCTATATGAGCCTGCAGGGAAGCATTTAAATGGACTTTAAAAGGAGGTCATAATGAAAATTTTAAAAAATGTGATTTAGCCACGCAAGCTACCTGGCTATTATTGTGTGTGCTCTGTTGTATGCTATACTGGAAAACACCTTCACAATCTGGAACTGAGGATTCAATCAAAGAGAAGGTGCACCTCATGCCAATCCTTGAGGATAGAAGGGGTTGGCTGCAGCTCCTACAAGCTCTTAAGCAGCTTTTATACTGAATTGGTATATCTAGATCATGTCCATAGGTGGGAAATCACTCTCTTGGATGATCCAGAGGAAAGCTCATGAAAAGAGAGGGATGGGCAGACATAAAACTCCTCTGTACTGAAATGAGGAGAGTGAATGTCAAGGGTCTGCCTGATTTTCCACATCTTCTGCAGCCAGAGAGGAGAATCCTTCCTTCCATTAATAAATGAAAACTAAGGATAAAATCAACACTAAGTGTGTTTTCCCAAATTGTTCTCTATCTTTATCTAGCTGGAGTGGGGAACTTGGGGATCTCTGCTTGCACCCACTTCCCCAACCCTGCAGGTGCTACATCTCCATAGGGAACAGCAGCACTGCCTTGAGCGTTATGTGGGGGCTCCATCCCCAACAGTGTCACCACCAAGGACAGGATAAAGATAAGGGTAAGGTTTAGGGCTAGGAGGAAGGGGAGGAGCAGGCCAGGGGGAGCACACAGGGGAGCTCTGCTTGGAGCCATGTGGCTTCAAAGCCAAAAAGTGGGTGAAAAGGGGTTTTTGTTTCTTCTTTTTTGTGTGTTTTGTTTTTTTTTTCCACCAGCCTGAGGTGGAAGGAAAGCTGCTCAGCCCCAGCTTGGCCTGGCTGGTGAACAATATTGATGTGAGCAATGCTTCTGGAGGGACTGTGAGCATTTGTGAACCCCCAGCGCATGGCTCTGCTGCAGGAAGGCAGACTGCAGCACTTCCCACCCAGGACATCTTCTCCAGGTCCCCTTCCTGGGCTCCATTTCCTCCATACAAGCATCGGCACCACTTGGAGATGCCCCACTCCGTGCCTCTCCTTGCTGCAGGTTTTTCAAGCCTCCCTGAGCAAGGATTCATATCAGTACTCATGGGCAGTCTCAGCCTGGTGGCTTTTCCCAGCTCATGAGACTGGCAGCAATGAGAATGCTCTGAAATGGACCTGAAATAAACCCCTTCTGTCTTTGCCCCATTGGAATTGAGGAAAACCCCATGTGAGCACATCGCCTGTGGGCTTTTGCCTCTGGTCTTGGGCTTCATGGGACAAGAGGAGGAGAAGTGAACACCTGGACTTTGTCTAGCTGACAAGAAAACTGCAAGAGGGGAAATGGATTGCATCAAAGAGGCTTTCTAAGGGTGGGTGCTCCCCCACTGCAATCCATCTCTGGCAAGGGGGCAAAGCAAAGTGCTTGGGATCAGCTCAGCCCGTTGGGAGACACCCCACAGCCTTCTGCTCCATGGGCACAGCTGATGGATGCTCCCCTGTGCCAGACTCAGCAGAGACAGGTCCCTCAGGTCAGGGGGCTTAACGCATCCTAAAAATCAGCACGTCAGCAAGAACTGCACCCCTGCATAAGCAAAGCAAGTCTGGATCCCCACCACCCCTTTGCAGACCCTATGGGAATAGGGTGACACAGAGCCTCCTGCATCCCATAGCGCAGCCGAGGTCCGTTTGTCACTTTTCCTTCATTATTTGCTGTTTGTACACAGGCATCATTAGGGATTCATTTGGTTTCCCTAGCAGCAGGCATTAGTCTGGCTTCCCTTTCCCCCTCTCTCTCCCTCTCTCACCAGCACCCTTTATTTTTAGTGTCTTATTTACAGTTTGACAGAGTAACTGTAACCCTTGCAAGCTACTCCAGCGGCTTTAATCGGGGGAATAATGGGTCCTGTCTGGCGATGAATAGAATTTAGGGGACAGATTGTTCCACACTCGCCCGGTGGGGGTAATTTATTTATGTGCGCACTTGTCAGGAGGAGAAAGGGATGGGGGATCTGTATGCGGCGAGGACATCGCGCCGCTGAAAGGCGGAGGGGAAGGGAGAATGGAGCCAAACGGCCCTGCTCCCACTGCCCCCCCGGCAGCTGAATGCCTCCGGTGGCCGTGAACTTGGAAGGGCTGAAAGCCCCATTCCCAGGCTCTGGGCACGTCAGCGGGGCTGCAATGCTGCCGGCAGAGGGGCTCGGGGCTCCAGATGGGTCCAGGCGCAGCGCACAGCCCTCCCTGGTTCTGCTCGCATAGCGGCGGCGCGGGGAGCTCGTCCCATAGCAACGGTACAGTAGTGGCGGCACAGCGGGGGGCTGGGAAGAGAGGCAAAGCCCTCGGAAAAAATACAGGATGGGTCCAGACAATGGTCCTCTCTCATATCATAAATTACACGGCGGCGACAAAAGGGGATGGGGCTGGTCCCCTCTCCCTGATCCCACAGCCTCTGGGCTCGCTGGGCGCTCATCGGCATCCCTGGGTAGAAAGGATGCGGCACCCTTGAGAGTTGTGTTTGGGTGATGCACGGGGGGAGAAAGCCCCTTTGCTGTCCCCACCTCCCCTCCAGCAGCATCCCAGCTTCCTGCACCCACCGCCCGTGCTCTGCACCCTGTGACTGTGCTCCCTCTGCTGATATTTTGAGTGTCCAGGTTCTCCTAAGTCACAAAAAAGGCTTTTTTTTCCTCCTATTTCCTCACTATGGCTCGAGACCTGGACCGTTTTGTATTCACTGCTGGGGCCTCCACAGCTCAGCACAGCTTCTCCCATGAGCTTTCATCTAGCACAGGGAAAGATCCCTATGGGACATGGTCCGATGGGCTCTCAGTCTCTGAGAGCCCGAACCTATATACAGCATCAGCTGAAAAAGAAGGCTCTCGGGCTGTGCCCATGCAAAAGAGATGCTGGAGCTAAACAGCTGAAACCCAGCACTACACTGAGGATAGGGAGCAAGCTGGTGGCTGAGCAATCCTCATCCTACAGCCACATCCTGCAAGGTGAAGCCCCTCGCCAGAACAGCCATAGCACTGCAAGAAGAGTGTTGGCCAGAGCAGAAGTGCCTTGGGAGAGGTGTTCAGAGCACACACAGGGCAGAGCACACACAACCACTTCACCCACCCCAGGTTACAACCAGGACCATGGGTTCCCCACAGGCGTCACCGCACACCTTTGGAAAGCTCAATTCCTCCAAGCTGGAGGATGACACAAGAGCACTGAACCAAACAGAATAGCAGGCTGTGGAGCAAATGGGTGAAGTCTTGTGGTACAAGAGAACATGACAAGGATGGAATGCAGCAAGTGAGGGTCATGGATGCATTTCAGCTCAAAGCTCTTGCCAGCTCAGGTGGTTCTATGACTCTCTGGCTGCAGGACAGCTCATGTGATGCTCCTGGTGTTTCCATCACACCCAGGACTGAAGGTGATGCGCAGTGTCAGGAGCAGAGGTCAGGATGATGCCCTCTTGCTCCTATGAAGACAGCATGATGGCAGCCAACCCAGCCCAAAAGCAATTTAAGGAAGACCTCCCCTTGGCAGAGAGACCAAGAGCTCTCCTTGTTCAGCTGAGCTCAAACCAAGGCAAGAGTGCCTGCATGCACTTCAAACAAAGAAAAAACACATGGAAAAAAAGGTGCTCCCATCAGGTACCCCAATGCTTTTGCTGCCCACACCCTGGACACACTGCTTGGAGAGCTGGACCCTGCACTGCCACAGCAGGACCCAGAGTGGGGACCCTCAGCTGGGCACAATGATGGTCTATTCTGCTGATCACAAGCCTAATCCTCTTTGGTTTTTAATTGGCATTTGGGCTAAGCTGATTTAAACCTCTTCACCTTGTTGGGTCCCCCCTCCCCACTTCTTTCTTTTCTCTCTCTCTTTTTTTTTTTTCCTTCTTTTTTTGAACCCAATAACAACGCTGCCATCACCGAGCTCCCAGCACAATGACATCTTTGTGCGAAGGCGAGAGGAGAGGAAAGGGGAAGGGAGGGGGAGCGGGGAAAATGTGCTGAACCTACTGGGAAACAATGCTCAGTTTGTGGAGCAGCCTTGACCACTGGCAGAGCACCCGCTTCAGCTGCGCCACGTTAATAAATGCCCTGTCCCATCCGCAGCCCCAGGCACCTCACCTGTGCCCCCCCAGTGCCCCCCAGTCTCACCAGTGTGGCATGGTGCTGTGTCCCATCCCCAGAGTGCTCCTGGTGTCCTTATGCCAGGCTTGCTCAGTGCTGCTCCAGGTCATCAGCTGCTGGGAGGAGGAGGAGGATGGAGGAAGGTACACACAGTGACTGTCCCCAAGATGGGTCCTGCTACCAGCTTCCCATATCCAGGCTCTGCTGTGGTTGTGTTTTCCTTTCCAGCCTCCACTCCTGGTTTCATGCAACAGTGAGACACGATCGAAGTTGAGAACCACAAGCAACAGCAACTCCTTTCTTACCCTCCTCCCCAGATTTACCACCAAATAAGCGCCTCAAAGGATGCTGCTTGTGGGTTTGGAAGATTGGGACTAAAACAGCAGTAAGAGATCATGGAACAAAACCACGGGGGTATGAGAAATTGGGCAGTGCATGGTGAGCAGCAAGACAGTGCTCCTAATAGTGTGGTGCTTGTGTCCATGGGGCAGGTGCTGGAGTCTACTCAGTCCAAGGAGCTTGGGTTTATGGATAGCCATGAAAATTATGCTCTTACCAGGCAATTCTGAATGAACTTCCACCAGGACTCAAGCATTACTCTTGGCTGGCCAGGAAACGAGTGGAGCATCACAGCAGGGGAAGCTACTCTCTGCACTAGTGGGGAGAAAGAGAAAAGGGGATGAGAGCAAAATAAATGTCAGCCCCAGTGCCCCACAGCTGCCCTACGGATGATTATGGCCACAGAATTCACCCGTCATTCCTCATCTCCATGGACCTCCAATCCAGGAGTTACAAGGTAGAGCTACAAATGCTATAGACTCCATTCAAAAGAACCCTTTTTTCATCTGCCTCATGAAGAGCTGCGGTCCCTTAGGCTTCCCTCTGCCACCAGAGCTCCTGAAAAACTCAAGCCCAGCCCCAAGACCCAAAGTTTGTGCAGACTGGGGATGCTGAGTGCTGTGACGTAGCCATCCAAGGTAGCCCAACCACATGCTGCTTTCCCCACCCCATTGCTCTGTGCTGTCCTGGGTTGTCAGCACAGATTTATTTTTTACATATTGGTTTGCTTTGTGTATTTCCTCTCCACATAAACCTTGCTTCATCCATGGCAATTCATGGGCTACACATAGATTTAACCCAGTGCCAAATTTACTTGGCATGTTTAACAGGGGAAGACACTGGGGCCAGAAAAAGATCCTTTTCTCTTGCCCTTCAGTCCCATAAATCGTTGATAACAGTACAGAAACCAGGAGGAGCAAGCAGTGGAAAGGAAGCAATAAGCCAAGGATGGAGGCTCAGCAACACAGAGCAGCAAAGCCAAAGCTCCATCCCCCAGCCCACATCCACTCCATGACTGCAAAAGCGAGAAAAAGGCACAAAAATCCACCCCCCCCCCCCCCAGTCCAAGCAGTGAGAAATCAGCTGAGTGGCTCCAGCTCAGCTGAGCAGCTAAGAGCCTTAATGCATTTTTGTGGGTGTTAGGGAACGAATTCCCATTCCTGCACGCGCGGGGCTGGAGGTGCTGGGTCACCTCTGAGGGATCAATGTCTGCATGGGGATGGTGGCCTCAGCCCCAAAATGGGCATGGGGTGATGGAGCTCATGCTCCAACCTGATGGGAAAAAAAGAGATTTGGGGTTCAGCTCTTCCACACATTCAGACTTTCAGGTTTCTTGCTCTCTTGGTGACAGATTGATGGGGAGACATTAGGAAGCACCAACGCAAGCTCATGGAGCACTGAGATCACCACCAAACCAGCAGCCACCCACAATGGGCTCTGCAGTTAAAGCACCCCAAAATAAATACCTCAAGCATCGGAACAGAACCAATCTTTAAAAAACTCCCAGCAGATCAGGCGATATTCCTGCTCCTATCTGACCTCAGTGCCATCATTTTTGTCCCTACAAACTGCCCATTGGGCACGTGAGGCCCTATGGGCCATGTGCAGTGCAAGGATGTTCTTGGTTGTGTTTTGCACTGATATTATCCCTATTATCCCCCCCGTCTTTAAGCAGCCACAAAACATTCTCAGTTTGTCCAAGAAAAGGGGAAAAAAATAATTGAACAGCTGCTTTGTTAGTATTTCTGCAGTACACAAGAATACAAACGTGGGCTGAAGCCACTGCAAGATCTTTTGGCAAAATGCAAGTCAAAATATCCCCCACAACAGAGCAAATTTTAATGACCACCCCAAAATATGTTGTAGAAAGGACTGGATGCTCACGCTGGTCTCACTCCCACTGCAAAAATGGGAAATGAATCCAAAGGAGGGGATCTGGGGGTGATGCTGGAGCGAACACCATGGGTGGGAAAGAGAAAATGTGGGTGAGCAAGGCTAGGGTGAGCACACGGGGCACGAGTGGGGTGCGGGGCCATTGTGGGATGTGGGGGCATGGGTGGGATATGGGACCGCAGGCAGAGATGTGGGGTGGCTGCAGCCACGAGCGAGCATCGGCCATTTTATGTTGGCTGCCTAAAATGGTGGCTTGCACCTTTTTTTTCCCTTTCTGCTACCGTTCCAGCACGCATGCACCCACGGAGAGGGGAGGGAGAGGGCCGCAGCCCCCTGCATACGAGGGTGCAGGGAACAGGAGCCAAGATGGAATTAGAAGGGGGAAATTAAAGGAGGGGAATGGAGGGGGGGTGAGCGGGAAGGATGCGCTCGCCTCGACGCGGCCCATCCGCCCTTGGCTTTATGCTACGGCTTTATCCTATGGAAGGGAGAGGCAGGAAGGCATCAAGAGGGGGAAAAAAAATGGGGGGAAAAGGAAAAGACATGCAACGTTTGGGCGAGGACAGAGGAGGGGGCAGGGATACGCGTGGGGCGCGGGGAAATCTTCCCTCCTTTCTTCACCGACCCCCCCCACCCACCCCCCCCTTTTTCGCCCTCCCTGCAATCCCGCTTTGACTTTTCCCACAGAAGTAGCCAACCTCCAGGAATGCAAATGACATTCATTATGCAAATGCATGCAAATCAGGTTTAACTATCGGAAGAAGGGCTCAGAATTGCTAATGGGTTAACTCTTTCGCACACAACCATGACAACAAGAGCCCTCATCGCGCTCGGGCTTTGTGCTACTCCGTCCCTTCCCAGGCACCCCAGCCCCGTGCCCTTACTGGGATCCCCATAAGCGTGGGATGAGGGCCACGGGGAGGGTGGAAAGGGGAACAAAGCACCAGGAAAACAAGAACAACAAAAACTCCGTTGGCGTGGGAGTGGCTGCCCCTTCGTTAGACGCCGGTGGGAGATGAGACAAAGGCTGAAATGCAAAAATGGAGGGAGGAAAAAGGAAAAGAAGAAAAAAAAAAAATAAAAATAAAGGGAGGGGAAAAAAAACCCACCAGGCTGCTATCAAGCAGATGATAAATATGACATTGTGGTGCATGGGCAAAGGGTGATGGCACCCTCCAAGGTTTGGACACTGGCATCCAGGAGGGTGCAGAGTCACCATCCCATTGTTCCCAGCAAAAATATTACATTGCTGAAATCCCAGCCTTCTCTCTCTCTGTTTTTTTTTTTTTTTTTTTTTTAATATCAAGGGAATAAAGCAGTAAATAAAAGAAAAACTGACAGTGTTTCTCATGGTGTTATCACCTGGGAGGGACAGAGCACATGGGAAACCATGGCCATGATGCAGCAGTGCTGCAGTGCGCCTGGGATGCTCCAAGCACACCAAGGCCATGCTGGGCTCGAAGCAAGAACCCCAGGGCAGAGCCCTGTGCCTGCTGCAGGGGGCCAAGATGCACGCACAGCTAATGGCTAAGTCATTAATAGCCACGCTCTTATTGATTAGCATTAATAATACTGTGTTTCCATGCATTGGAATGCGTGCTCTCTTTATGTCTTACACCTGATCCCAGGCCGCTTTGCAAGCTAAAATGTTGAGCATTTCTGCAAGCCTCAAGTGTCAAAATATAAAGAAATAGACTAGTGAACCCCTCCTTACCAAAATAAGGATGAGGGAGAAATAAAAATAAAGCTGCAGTGTGGGTTTCTGTATTTACCCTCTGTCCTCTAGCTGGGAATCTACCAGCCATGCTCTGCTGCTGAGTGCACCTCCAGTTGCTTTCGATTTCTGAGTGTAGAAGTGATTCCAGAAAGCTGGAAATGGGAGATTTTCATTCTTACCATGATTTCCAATACTGATTTTTTATGAATTAAATGCACACGTGGTGGGAGGTTGGTGGGTGCAGCCGTCCCGGTGCCAACAGCTGCTTATTGCTAATGACTGAGATGCAGCATCATTATCATATCATGGTGCTGAGAAAGCAAACTTCCTTAGGAAGATGCTGTAGATGCTTCCTTAGGATTGCACAGATCGTGTGTAAATTGTCATTTGGAAGAGATGGTAACGGGGTGGGACTCAGCACATACCTGGAGTCAATGGCATCCCCAGCACCGCAGCAGAGGAGGAGCGGAGATGGCTGAAAGGAGAGTTCATGCTTTTAGCACAGCGTGGAAATCACTCGACTTTATCAAACCTCCCCCCATTGAGTGACATGAAAAAGTGTTATTAACCATTATTAATCATTTTCACCATTATTATCGATATCATCATTATTAAAGGAGCTCCTATTTATTCCCTTTGCTTTTCCTTCCTCCCCCTTCTCTATCCCATTTGACCCCTTAGAAGCCATTCCCATTTGCCTCACCCCCCTTTGCTCTGTTTCTCATCACCTCTTTGGCCCCGAGGAGACCATTTTTGTTGCCCAGAGACACAAAGCAGCGCTTTGGGGCATGGAAATGCCAACACACACAGCCTCCATCCCACCCCATTGGAAGTCAGCTTCCAAAAATGCTTACAGCTGCTTTGTGCCAGAACCCCACTGGCAAAATGAACGTTTATCCACATTTATAAGAGTGCAGTCTGGCAGCTTGGGGAATGATATGGTTGGGAGGAAAAAGGTAAAAAAGGAAAAATGATAAAAAGAAGGAAAGAGAAGAAGAATTTTTACATTGAGGTGTTAAGAGAAACCATTGTTTGCAGAAGTTGGAGATCAGGGAGAGAGGAAAGGCTGAGTGACTTTGGGATGGTTGCCATCGGGGGGATGCAAGGCCTTGGTCCTCACTTGGATTTTCCAGCTCTATCAATACTTTTACTCCTCATCATCTCCAGCAGCATCAAGAAAATGCCTGGAAGGTGCATTGTGTAGGGAAATGTGGCTGGGGTGAGACTGGGCAGCCGAGCATCCTCCCCTGGTTGCACCAATGGCCATTTATGTACTGCTGTACTGCTGTCAGAAAGCCCAGCTGCATTCTGTAGTACATCCCCAGTTTTTCCCCATCCTGGATGAGGACGTCATGAGAAATGAACAAGGGCACATAGGAAGCACCACGCACAGAGCAATGCCAAGTGCTTTTGCACCCCATCATGCATGGACAGCTCTGATGGGACAACCCATGCCCCAGGGAAAGCACCCATAGCACAAACCACAGCTTCCCACCACTTCCATCACAGCAAAGGCAAAAAGTGAAAGAGGATTTTGCAGCAGCAAACAGAGGGGTGTGGGCAGTGCTGGGGGCACTCAATGCCCATCAGCTCACAGCATTACGGGGCAGAACACGGCTGAGAAGTGCAGTTGGATGGTAGAACCTCAATTCTTCCTGAGGTCGTGGAGGGGATTTGTGCTTCGAGCGCCAGCCCTGAGGACGCAGGAGGCAGCATGGTTATTTTTAAACCATGATTTTTTTCATCTCAGTGTTTTCTCAGCCCTATTTTAAAGCCGGCTCACAAAGCATTTGGGGGCCAGACTCCATTTTTCAGCAAGGAAAAAAAAAAAAAAAAAAAGCAAGCAATCAAGCAAACCCACCACCCTTTTTTTTTTTTCCCCTAATTTTCCCAAAGACCTCAGAGGCGTGAGCACTCGAGAGTCAAATTTGCCCAGGACTCGCATCCCTTAAGAAAGCAGTGCTCATTCGCCTTCCACAAACTCTGCAGCAGCAACAAAAGTCCCTTTCAAGCCCTTCCAGACGCAAGTCCTTCAGCTCAATTAGTCAGGCACACAGGGACACAAAAAAGCCTCCCATTCAGGCTAGTGGCTGGCTGCGGAGGACAAGGGTGAAGAAAGGATCTTTCTCCCACGCTTTCACTGGGTGTCATAACAAGCAGAAAGCCCTCTTATGGGAGGATTATTGGAGATAAGAGCCCAGCCAAGGGGCTGGGGCTGCAGGAGGAGAGCACGGAGGATGCTGAGGCTCCCACCAAGGCCAGCACGGTGCACGTTCAAAACGATGGTGCTGGCCTCCTCTACCCATGCACAAGCTGAATAATCCTGCTTTTCCATGGCAACCCGCAAAGCAGAGAGCCTTGCAGCCGTGGGTTCTGCGGCCGTGCGCAGTGCGTGCTCCAGAAAGCACCCAGCTCCTCAGGAATGGAATGGCCTTGAGATTTTATATTATATATATATATGTATGTATGTATGTATGTATGTTTTAATAAGGAACAGGTTTCTCTGAGCTTTGGTTGGTCAAAGCTAAACCAAAGCAGAGGAAGGGAGCAAACTCCCCAGAAGATGAGGTCTGTGCAGAACCCACAGCCATCAGTGGCCCATTCACCCTCTGCAGCACCTACAAGTCCCTGGACACCAACAGCTCTGCATGGCATCAACCCAAGCTTCCAAGCCAACTCCATCCCTGATGCCCTTCATCAGCCAGAGTAACATTCCCATTTCCCCACACCTTTGCCATCAACTCCACACGCATCTCCAGAGAGCACTTCCAGGTCATCCAAAGACACAATTCCTTTTATTTTTCCCCTTACAGCTCATTCATGGGAGATGAAGACAGCCCAGCTCATGGTGGTCGGGGGCTCAGGAGGGTACAAGACCAGCTTGGGGCTGAGGAACCCACACAGAACCCACTAGCCCTAATTGTAGGATTCCCTCCCTCTGACATCGACTGAAAAGTAGAGCAGGAGGAAGGGCTGGAACGAAGTTAACACCTCAAGGGAAACTCTTCCTCTTTTCCAGGGAGCACTCAGTGCCTCCAGAAAGGGATCACAGTCCTGCGCTCCCTCACCTAATCCCCGTTACCCACACAGTGTCTTCCAAAGGGAACAAAATGAATCCAAGGACAGATACATAATAACTTTTTTTCCTCCAAACAAAACAATTTTGAGGTGGGCAATGCCCACGTCACACAAACCCATGCTCATCCCCAGCACTTATTAGTCACATTTTCCCCGAAGATCCAGGTGCAGGGATTTAAGATCGAGTGCACACACACTTGGCACTGCCCCCTTTGCCCCTGCACTGGTGACACCAAAAGCCCTGAAAGTGGAATTAGAACGATTTTTACATCTCCTAGGTCTGTCAGAGCCACAGCTTAGGGATTTACACAGCTCAGCATCATAGCCACGAGCATTGGCTCTCAGCAGCAGCAGGGCAAATCCTCATGTCACACTGGCACCAGACCGCTGATTGGAGCACATTCAGCCAGGAGCTGCTCCCACCCTCACAGACCTCAGCGATCTGCTCTGTGATTCAGCTCTCAACACATTTCCCATCTTTTCCTGCAAAACCCACCATGACAGCACTGCTTTGCAGATGCTTGCCTGCTCTCTTGAGCCCCCCAGCCAGCAGACATCCCTTTTTCATTGCATTCTAGAGAAGGCAGAGAGCAGAGCTGGCACTATCCCTAAAAACCCTGCAGGGCAACCAGAACACAGCTCTAGGACAATTTTAAGGCCCCTGTTTCAATGGTAGTGCTGTCACATTGTCCCAGGCCAGCCAAACCTCCTGCAACACAGGGCAAATGGGGAGCTGGGAAGCAGCCAGTGGCTCTGCTTTCACATTCAATCACTCTCAGAGCATCACAGCAACCAACCCAGCCCCACCAGTGCCTAGCTCAGCATTTTCCTCCCGGCCGCTGCTGAGGGAAATGCCATCAGCTGTCCCCCCAGGGCACCCGTCGACTCCCATTTGGTGGATGCCATGTGCCACATTGGCTTGCTGAGGGGGTAGGATTGGAGAAAGCCCCTCATTGCCTTTTTTTTTTTTTTTTTTTTGTGCTGTAGGGGAAAATGCCGAAGTGGGATGCCCAGTGCTAATGCAGGACATGGCAAGACCCATTGTAGAGCAGTGCAAAGTCCCAAATCTTCAATGGGGACAGAGCTCAGCAGCACACAGTTCACGCAGAGCACAGCCCCAGGATGCTGTTCCCACTGCCAAAATTCAACAGGGCCTGATTTGGTTCCTCCAGGAAGTCAGAGTGCCCACTCAGACGCTTTGTCATAACCCCAATGTGAAAGTCACGCCCTTGGAAACCCTCAGGGCTTGGGAGTCCTGATTATTTGGTGAGGAATGGCTGCTCCCAGCATAAAGACAGCCCCAGGACAATGAGGAGCAGACCCACACAGACCTGACATTCCCAATAGCATTGCCTTGGGAACAGGATGAGGCACAGACCCCAAAACCCCCCTGCTCCCTCGTGAGCATCACCAGAATCCATCCATCAGCATGCAACCCTGCTGCAATTATATGGGGTTTGAAACATAGATATTCCTACATTCAGGCGCATGCACACGTATTGTTTCTTTGTGACTGCACTATTCTCCACCTCCCTGGCCCATGGCACGAGAGACCCAATGGGTCACAGGGGGGATGATGAGGACTAGAGACCTCAGAAGGCTTCAGCAGTTTGTTTAAAGCAAAAGCAAGTCAACCTCAAGTTCATTCCTAGGATATTTCAAGGTGAAAATGATGCACTGAACTGAAATCACTGTTTGTCAATAGTTACATTTGTATAGGTCGGTCCTTCTCAATCACTCATTGACCCATTGATTAATTAGTATTGCCTTTACTCCTTTCTTTGCTCCAACCACACTGCTTCAAGCATGAAAAGGACACGGAGGGCTGATCTCTCAAGAACATGCAAACCCATCTCCCATTAATGTCTCCAGCAGTTAGGTACACACAAGGGAGAGGCGAGCAGACAGTGCTGAGTGTGAACCACTCAAATCACAATGTCCAAGCAAGCTTAGACAGCCACATATAAGCTGCAATTTAGATCAACATCACACCAACACACAGGGCTCCTACTGCCAGCACGCTCTGGGAGCAAAGTGGGGAGAGGAGGAAAGAAATAAAAGTAGAGAATAGCTGCCTGCAGGATTCCAGCTCCCAAAGGCCTGGGGATGGCCATGCTCAAGGTGCCACAAGGACATGAGATTGTAAAGAAGCTCTGCTAAGACCGAGAGCAGCTGACAGCATCCCGGGCCCCAAGAGGTGGGAAAAATGGGGCTGTTGAAGTATCGGTTCCCATTTGGGAGTGCAGGATTGCACCCAGCAGGGATGGGGTGAGCAGGGAATGGGTCAAACGCTGAGCATCCCCTGCCTATTAGGTCACCAAATTCCCCGCAGAGCTTTTGCCCTCATCCCAGGCCACCAGCCCCATCTCTGCCCGTGCCTTTGTTAGAGCTGAGCAGGTGACAGCATCACACCACAGCCTATGGCAGCACCGCCTCGGCCCCATGCCCACCAGGATTGGTCACCTGGGAAAACCAAAAGATGATGGTACGCTGCTCCCAGCCCCTGATTGGCGCCGTCCTTCCTCCCCCCCTCCCAGACCCAATCCACTGCCCAATGGAGGGTGGCACATGGCTTCTCCCCAGCAATAAAAGCATCTCACCCACTGCGTTGTCCCCAGTGAGACGCTTGCACGAGGACACACAGCTGTGCCCAATGCCCACCCAAACATGTGCTGGTGGCACCGGGACCTCACAAGGGACAGCAGCATGGTGACATCCTGCTGCCACCAAAGCCAGGTGGCCGACTCTTTCCCACACTCAGGCACAGGGCAAGCCCCATAGGATCCCTCCATGGACTCAATGCTCTCCTTTCCTCCACTCTCTGCCACGCATCCCCTGCCTGGGATGTGCCTGGAGGAGCAGCAGGGGATACAGTGAGAGCACATGGAAACATCCCTCTGCTCCAGCACCAGGCTGCAGGACAAGAGCAGCACTAAGCACATCCAGGAGGGGTGGGCAGGGGGGGTTTCCTGAAGACATCCCCAAGGAAATTGGTACAGGAAAGTGGCACATGCACTGAGTGAATCTGAATTAAGGGGCTGTGGGTGAGGAGGTGAAAATGGTCTTGTTTATTAAATTAAAGTCATCATAGGAGCATGACTCATCTCTCACACTGCATCTCAAACTACAGCTTTCCCCTGTACAAAGTCCTGGGAACAGTTTCTTCTACATTCCCTCTCCCTTTAAAAAAATAGAAAATAAATATAATAATAATAAAGTCCTGATGAGCACAAGAGCAAAACGAGCGGGTCCAGCATGGGTCAAAAGCCAGCTTTTTTTCTACACCTCTCCCAAGGTGCAATGCTCTAAATATTCCTTTCCAAAAATCAGTTTGGCTTCTATGGCTCATGTATTTTTTTTTTTATTAAGAGCTTTGCCCCCTCCCCTCCCTCCCCCCAGCCTTGGAGTCACCGTTATGAGATCAAAACCCTCCTGAAGAGCTTTGTGTTCTTCAAAGCAGCATCAAGACATCGTCCAAATGGGCCGCCAGGTTGGGCGGGTGGCATCTAAGCAGCCTGGCCATAGCAGAGGGTGGGGAGCACCCAGTGCACATCTCTGACCCCCCCATCTCCTTCTAAAGGAGAAGAAGCAGAAATCCTGGATTCCATAAGAAGAGGCCAAGAGATAACAGTGAAGGGAGCAAGGATTGGTGTGAATTGGCATTCAGAGAGGATAAATAATAGAAAATCAAGTTCCCCCATTCATCTCACACTGCTTCAAAGGCAAATTAAATAGATATTTTTGTTAATAAATCCCCAATCTTGGATCAAAGAAACGTTCATAGGCGGAGGGTTGAAAGAAGAAAGGGAGCGTTTGGATAGAGGTACAAAAAGAGGGAATGGAAAAAAAAAAAAAAAACCACAAAGAAAGCTGCAAGAAACCATTTTCCAAATCATTGCATCACTCTTTCTAATCTGGATACCAAGTTATCTCTGTCAGGGAATGAAACTAAACAGATTGGAAATAGTGGGGGGGGGGGGTTGAAAAAAAAAAAAAAAAAAAAAGAGGAGAATGTTCATATCTGCAAAACAACCATTAATAAACAGTGCTCGGTTGCTGCTTTATTAAACAGATAATCCAGCACGGTAATCTGTATTGATTTATGGGTTCTGTGATGCTACACGAGCGGTTATGCAATGAGAGTTCATCCTCGATCTGCGGTCTGGGTCCTGTGCTTCACTAATTCACAATCTGATGGGAAGTTTTACTTTGTTAATTCAATTATAGTCAGCAGCAAAAAAAAAAAAAAGAACGGCACCATCCTCATTTTGCTCAAGACTGAACCAGAAAGCGTTTTCTTAAAAGGAGACAAATCAGGTCTTGAAATCAATAAATAATGAAATCCTACCTCGGTTTTAATTCCAGTCTCAAAAAGTTGTCTTTTTTTTTTCCTCTCTCTCCTCTGTTCTTTCTTTTTTCCGCCTCTCATTTTCTTGATCTTCTT